TCTAGAGAAGTGTTTTATGTAGAGGAACACCTCCCTCTGGTATCCGAGGCCTGGCTCCTGGTGTGGTAGGTGACACGCTTGCATTCAAACACATCTCCGTTCACCCTGGAGGGGTTGTGATGCAGGGGTCTGCGTTCTTTCTATTGTCACCTGAGACCTGTGCTGCTTGCTTAAAAAGAAAAAAATCAAAACTTCTAGGAAAAAAACAGAAGCCTTCTCCACCCAGTGCACCAGAAATCATGCCTGCATCATGCTGACCAAGAAAGTCACTCCCCCTTGAATTTGCTGGGGCTGTGCACTCTCTACAAGAGCACTGCATTGACTAAATTGTGGCATACAAGTAGCTTGAGACGAGGACCCATTGTGCATGCATGTTTAAATGTACTGGGAGAGAGACTTTGCACCAAATAGCTTCCAGCCTAAGTAGGCTTCAAAAGGCAAGAGCTGGGAGGACAGGAAGCAATGCCACAGCAATTGGACCAGACCTGGAGGCAGGCTAGTATCAGAGCCAGGGACGAGAACTGAGGATCCCGAGTCGGCTTGCGCTTTTTTGAGTGTGTTCCTGGAACATGGGGTGGGCCTGGAGGTGACTTGTTCAATGGACTAGGTCCCTCAAGTGACATGCACAATCCTTGCTGTGCTCTGCTCTGCTCCGCGGGGGACAGCCTTCGATTTTTTTAAATGGCATTTCATGAAAATCGCCCAAAATTATGTTACTGGAACGGTGCAAAAGGTCTTCCAAGTGCACGAAGCGCTAAGGTCCCTTTGCAAACACCTCTTGGCCTTTCTTACCGACAGTGCTGCGTTTTGAAACCCCTGGTTTGTTTGTGGTGGAGCCAATAAACAGGTGAACAAATAATCCTCTGGATGTAAAGTTTTAATCTGTGCTTGGAAATTGGGCCCAGGCAATGGATGGGAGCCAAGCTGCTATTGTCTGTTTGTTCCACACCAAAGGTGTAAAGGAAGTTTGACTGGCCAAGTGAAAATGTCAGCCGCAATGGAAAGATTCAAGCACCTGGACTAATTGCAGTTCTGTGCGCTTGAACTCTCCACTGTCCTGTGAATGGAATTGTTCGTTTAATTATAGCATCACATCATTACAGAGCCCTGGGCTTAATTCATTTTCCTACGAGCAGCATCGTCTGTGGCAAGGTACTGTGCTCCAGTGCAGCTGTCATTTCTAGAGGAAAAGAAATGCCTGGTAGTTTCCAGGATTGACTATCGTTTTCCACCTTTTGGAAACAACAGCATCTCGACAGAGCTTGGGAGGCACCACCCTGGAGAAGCATTGCCTTTTCATGGGAAACCCTTTTCCATCCTGTTTGGGGATTGAATTTGCTCCAGAGATTTCAGCTCTGCATGCGATTTGGGCACTGAGATAAAGACTCGGGTCCTAGCAGCTCCAATTTGACAGTATCACAAGATTTCCATGAGAGCTAAATACACGTCGTGCACCCAGCATGTCCAGCTCTTTGGAAAACCTGGCCCCAGGGTGTGTGTGTTTGGGGGGGCAGGGGGGTGCTGAGCCCTTGAAGACCTGGCCTGGAGCTTTTGTGGGAAATCTGTCCTATGGAACAAAATGCAAAGGGAAGACCATTTGTTTCATGTTGTTTTACTAGCGGACAATTCAATTGCAACAGATCTGGCTTCGTGAAATAGCATCAGGTTTAATTATGGGGTATCTTGGTTGGTTTGGGGCAAGCAATCAGAAATCTCGACAGCAGGGTCATGGCATTGAATAAATCCCTTAAGCCTTGGGATGGACGTTGCTGTTGGAGCAGTTGAAAACAAAGAGCTTTTCACTCCTCTTGAGCTTGATTGGTTTCCGGAAGGGCTTATGTGACGGGATCGCTGGTAGTTGCAGGGAAGTGGACTCCGTGACCTGGAGGCCTTTCAGGCCTATGTTCCTGTCTAGGGCATGAGAGTGACTGGCAGATGAGAAGATCCTTCAGCCTTTCAAAAGACTGAGCCCTTCCTTGGCTAGAAGTCAGCGTGCTCAACCTTCTGCAAGGCTGAAGGACTCCTTGGAGCTCCCGGTGCTACTTGGAGTGGGACATGCAGGAGCAAACTCTTCTCCCTCACCTTTTACTTGGTACTTTCTAATCGGACTCACTATTGCAGGGGCGGGCAATTATTTTGGGCGGAGGGCCACTTACTGAGTTTTGGCAAGCCATCGAGGGCCGCATGACAGGCAGCCCAGGGCAGATAAATATTAATTTTCTACATTTTTTAGGGGCCCCGTGGGCTGGATAGAATGGCCTGGCGGGGCGCATCTGGTCCCCGGGCCACATTTTGCCCACCCCTGCACTAATGCAATAGAATATAACAGCCTTTACATGGAGCCCGCTGGCACTTCCAACGAGCTGCAGTAGAGATGGGGAAGGCTGTATCCAACTAGACTTGCACAGGGATTTGGGGAGGCAAGAAAGACACAGTGACTCAGAATCTGTCTGGGACAGGGCAGTTAATGCTCATGTCCTTCAAGAAAGGTTCACGGGGGCTTAGTGACCAGCACTTGCTTTTTGATGTCGGCTGACACCACCTAAAGCAAGAGTCCGTTCTGTCCCGAGTCGTGTTGTTGATCTTTGAATGAAGATGTCAAGTTAGAGACAGTATTTCAGTCTGCTATCGCACTTAAGGGTGCCAAAGCAGACCTCTCGCAACACCCTTCATGGCTTTCCTGGTCTGTGAAATAAAGGATTGGGGTTTTAGGTAGAATTGGTTGGTGCTACAGAAGAGAAGTAGTGCCCAGTGCCAGGCCTGGGCATTTGTTCTGAAGTCTTGCATCTCCATAATACACTTGAATTTCAGTTGCTGTGTGAGTATAGGGTTTTAAACCATTGGTGTGGGTTGTTCTTCACTGACAGCCATGGTTGTTCTGAAAGGTCACCCAAGGCTCTCCTTTTTAGTAAATACTGTCTTGAATTACTTACTGCCAGTAAGAAGAAGGGGCCCAGTTTGAGGAGACAAGATGCTGGGAGATCCTCCATCTGATCAGGTCTACCGGCTCGGCATAGAGCTGCTCAGCACTGAAATGCTGCAGAGTGCAAATATACCTGTTTGCTGAGAAATGATGCCAGACTGCACTGCACCCAGACAGCTCTCAAACTGGTTGAGAGAGAAGGTGGCTGATGAGACAGGCACTTAATTATGTAGAAAATGAATTGGATGCCCTGTCATGGCTGGCTGGAATCTGTCCTAATATTTGGGGTTGTGTTGTTGCTGCAAAAAAGCCTCTCTTCCCTCTCCACCAATGGCATACTTTTGCTATTCTGCTATAAAATCCTAGTGGAAGCAGGACTGTAGTAACCACGATGTAGCTAGGAGAGGTGAATGCCATACCCCTGTCTCTTGTTGGCCTTACCTGTCTGCATTAGGGTAAGAACCAGAGTTTTATCTTTGCTAAGACTGTATAGCAGGACAACAACTGCCTAATGCATGTTAGTTATTCTTCTATAGAAAAACCCACCTGTTTTGCAGTGAAGATATAGCCTGAGCTGGTAGTGACTGAGCTGTTACCATCTGAGATGAGGACTCTCAATTTTTTTAACTCTTACCGGACACATTGACATCACCAGACCCAGCCCAGTGGTGTTTACAAGCTGGTTCTCACTACCCAAAAGACTCTTCTGGCCTCTCTGCACCATCTCCAAGGGAGAGACAGCAGAGTATCCAAATATCGACTTGGGAGAATCCCTTCTTTGTTCTTGTGCTGTTTTGTCAACCCTGTAAATACTGATGCTGCATCCAATGGCAAGGTCATTGCTTGCCTGGTAGCAAAGGCCTTTCCAAGCTAGCCAGCTCTTTGCTGCATAGCTGCCCAAAGGCACCAGGAGAACTTGCCTTTTATAGTGGTCCGTCCTTTGCAACAGGCCTAGGGTAGACGGAGTACTCCAAAGCACCTGTATGTGTAAAGTATCTGGCACTCCTTGTCCCAGTGCATCGTACAGTATGTATTGCACATCTTTTTCCATTTTGCAAATGTCTTTTTTTTTTTTAATTCATAGGTTCACAGAACTTAAAGCTAGGAGTAGATCATTACTTTACCTACTCTGATCTTCTGTATAGCACAGACTGTGTCACCTAGGTAAGGAGCCCAGTCATTTGGCTAAAGCATGTCTTGCAGACGCATGTTCAGTCTTGATCTGAAGACATCAAGACATACAGAATCTACACCCAGGGGAGTTCACGCGATGCCTTTGAAGAAAGGTGCTTTTGCTATATTAAAATGCACTTTGTTGGACTGGGTTCAGCCTACCAAGCAATTCAGATAGCTCTAAATCAGGACTGTCTCGGGCAGTGTTTCTTAATCTTTTAAGTAGCAAGTACCCTCTAACTTCTGAAAATTTTAATAAATCCTGAATTTTCCAGGGGATTTTAAATTTACAGACTAATGTGTGCCATATGTTGGAAGAAGGGCTGTGTATATAAGGCCGTGATATGACAGATGTCTGATCTGGTGTGGGTAGGGTTGCCACCTTTTACACCTGGGCTAGAGGTGATGTTGGCCAAAGCTAGGAGAGCTGAACCCAGTGCTGCACACCAAAGTATTACTGGGGAATTTAAAGTGCCGCCTCAGATTGAGAAACTACGGTCTAGAGGGTTTCTAAGGCTAGTTAGGGCCATATTTAAACATTTTCTTTTATGGGAAGCCTGCCCAAAGGACTACTGAGCACAGCAGCTGTGGCACCCAGCCAAAAGCCTGCTTTGCAAAGTGATATTTAGGTGCTAAATAAAAGAAACTCCCAGTCTCATTGGAATGATTCCCGATTTATTTCTTTATTAATTTCAGGATGGATGCTATACCACAGATTGAAAGACATAGGGCAACTGTTTCACAAATCCACAAAGCATTACAGTTATCAAAGCATCTTTAAATGTCACTCCTGGCATTATTTAAAATATAAAATTACTTTTCTCATTTGTTTAAAAATATATACAAATATATATTTTCAATTCTAAAGCAAGAAAAAAACAGAATTAAAGTGCTTTATCTTGGTTTCATTCATGTCCGATAGTCATTCCCTAAAATACCATAAGTTAGTATCATTTTAAGCTCTCTCCAAAAAACATAATACTGAGCAGCCCTCTGGGCTGCATTGCCCTACAGTTCTTCACCGTTGTATTTATTTATTTTTTAGATATTTGCTCGAAGTACCGCAGTGCATAAAATATGAATAAATGTCTTTTTCCTAATACAACTGCATTGCTGGCAGTTGTCCACGGTATAAAATAATTGCTGAAGTGCAAAGACCTACTGCATTAAGATAAAAGAGAAAGGTGTTGTCTCAGGCCAGTCATAATTTACTATGGGACAAGTAGGGAGAAATGCTCCAGAAGCTGTAAACATATATTTTTTTTCTTCCCTCATTGAGAAGCATGCTTCTGATGACCTGGAGTTCATCTCTGTGCTGCCTCAATGCATTTTCCTCAAGTCCAGATGTGGAAAGTAGATTCCATACATGCCCTGTTGGACCTCGTACATGTTTCCCTTCCTTTGCAGGCAAAAGGCAATCTAGTGGAAAGAGCAACGCAAATGAGAAAAGCACGATCCTCCCTCTTGCCTTTTATCTGAGGCCAAGCATTTCATGATGTGAATAGATAACCTGATTCCCACTTTACGACTCGGGCAGAGCTTCCCAGTTGCAACCCCGAGACCTTTTCTCAGCTTGCTGGTCTGAACGGCTGTCAGGCCCCTTCTTGTACATCCGACTACAATCGTGTGATGTTTTCTAAGCAGCACTTCTTCATCTAAGTGCATCATACAAAAACTAGCTGTAGAGCTGAGCAGACGGGACAGTAGAAAGAAGATGCTTTCCACTCCACCCTGAAACTATTACTATTAACCTCAGTGAGGGATTAAAAAAGGATCTGCTCCCATTCTGTATGGGATGCAGAGGGGCACAGGCCTGTCCTTGATGGATGCTCATAAAAGTCTGTGAATGGGAAGAAGTCGGTGCAATCCCTAGAGTTAGGGGTATCTTCTGTTTGTTCCTTGTCTTCTGTACCCCATTACCTCTGTGTCCTAATCATTGTGCAGGGATTTACTGGCACATGCAAACACATTTTTAAGAAGAGCAAGGAAAAGAAGCCCCAAAATACAGCCGTCTTGTCCTCTGGGGGCTAACATCACATCTACTTTCCTTTCTTTTGCCATATCCATCTATCTATCTACCCCCCAGATGTGGTAGTCATCCACCTTGGCGAACTTCAAGACATGTCTTCACACCCATCTTGTTGGGGTCATCTGACCCCAGCAGTCTTTCCTGCCCAAGTGCAGAGGGCCTGGGCCCGGTGATCTGTAAGGGCCCCTCCAGTAACAACTATGAAACTATATGTCTCCATGTCCATGGAGATATTCTTCCGTCGTCTCCCCCAGTAAGCCAATCATGGGTCGCACTTTTCTCTTACTCGGGTGTCGAATGCACGTCATTCGTGAAAGCCACATATGTGACGCAGGGAGGATTTGCCCCCAAACCTTGACTGTTTTCCAGTCCATGTTTCAACCTACTCTGAGTTCACTCTTTGCTCCTGTTCCCAA